GATGGTAATTTCCACAGAGACAACAACCTGGTTCCAGTGTGGTGACCAGGGATAAAGCAGTTCATGCATGACTGTTTCTGTCTTTGTCTCTGTGTATCTCACTCCATCTGTCCGTCTATCCAATGACAGCAGTTATTAATATCATCATTGTTTTTTTGTACTGGAAAAAAGTGCATGAAACTAAATGTAAAATACAAAATATTTAATCTAAGTTGCATTCTGCTGCTGTTTTCTTTAATTGCTTGTAAGTCCGGGTGGGCACAAAAGATCTGTTTTCCTTCATCTATTTTTCTACTCCCTCCTCGCTTCTCGCTGCTGTATCCTGTGTGGTGACGCTGGCACCGGGCTTTGAGAGCTTTCCTGCACAGACGTTTTTGATTCAAGCGCTGACGTTCCTTGGGTTCTCTACATGTGTGGTGTAGACCATCTTCTTCCCCGCTCTGTTTACTTAACAGTAAAACCCAGCAGCCACAGACCGACGTGGGCTCACTCTGAGGCTCCTCATTCCCACCAGAAAGGAACCCATTTCATGAAGAATAATACTAATAACGTGACCAGAGCCCAAAACACTTCCTTTCCCCACAGCACTGCAGATCAGATTTTTGTTATATTATTCTTCATATTACAGTATTGGCTGCAACGTAAACACCAACCCCAAATTATCTAGTGCTTTTTCAAAGTGGTGCACTTGAGAATCTTTCTCAGTCCAAGTTCACACAGTAGCATTTATTCTAACCCCAAACATGCTGAAACAGTCGCTCTATGCAACTTGGGGTCTTTTGGGGTTTTGTAAATGAATGAGAACTGCCTTGAAAATGCCCTCAGGGGAAGAGACAATGGAGGGTACAAACCAGAAAGACGAGGAAGATAACAAGGACAGGAGAAGCATAAAACTAGCAAAGAGTAGTATGGGATGTAGAGGGTGAGAGAATTTGAGTGAAAGCGATGAAGAATGGAAGAAAACGAGGAAGGAAAGGCCCAGGTTTCTTTTCCATAACTGGATTCCTGGGTAATGACTGGCCTGTAATGGTACTGAGCCTCAATTCGCCAAATGAAACAAGAGGCCCAGCCAGCCCGATGATGTTTATTTCTCTCCATTTTTCATCTTTTCCTTTTTTTTTCATCTGTGACATAAAAATCATATATACAGAATCTGCGTTTAATTTGTACAGCAACCCACTGTTTTCTTCCCTTTTTCTCATCTGCTACCCGCTATTCTTTCTTGCACATTCAGCAAAGTCCTCTGGCCAAAGCAGGGATTTGTGGCCTGCTAACCAGCGGAGGGGATATTTTCTGAGAAATCCCCTCTGCCAACAACTTTCTTCGTCGTGGCCTCATATGCTGACCTGAGCAAACGCCTTTTGAATCGCTGCTAAAAGAGACTTTGGTCCATGCTGTCTTTGTTTAGCAGGGACATAGAATTGGACAAGTTGGTAGAACAGGTTCAAAGAAAAGAGCAGTGAAATATTTCTATTTAATGTAGCTGTATTTTGACTTGGATGAATGCTCGTATGAAGAAATGATTAGTGAATCCCTGATCACACATCAGCAAAGTCAGCAATAAACCTGCAGAGAGCACTTTAAGGCTGCACACTCACGCACATTCAGCAACCTCAGTAGTTTGGAACAGTTTGTGTTCAGTCAGACTGATCAGCTCTGCGAGCCACCGATGGGCGGCCACAGTGGCTGCATGAGAGCAGGCCAGGCTGCATGCCACGGGGGATTTCTGGGATCAGTGAATCTCTCCTTCTATCTCTGTATGGCTCACAGGCTCCGGCTTTTGGAGCAAGCACGATTTCTGGCCACGGTCCTTATTTGGTTCGATTTACGGGCGCCATGTAGCGACCGCAGAGTCAAAACCCAGACATGAATTCTCTCTCTGCGTCCACTGTCCAAGCAAACCACATCAACTAAAGCATTTAATACAATTGTGGTTTATTTTGATGTATTGGCTGTTACCTGAACTCACAGCACTAGATATTTTAAATAGATTTGCATAGTTTCACATCATTCTCCAGTAAGCTTTTGTGGGTACATTTAGATTTACAAAATTATTTACCGTATTTATTTTGTAGAAACTTAAAGTAATACAGTCTACTCACAATGGTGGGTAAATGTTCCCTTTGCAGTGTATTTACATCCTAACTGTGGCAGTTACAAACACACAACCACTTATATTATATATAATCCCTCCTACTTACAGATCCTATTTTTTTAAAGGATTTCACCTAGTTTTTCTAATTTCACCTAATTTTGTGAATCCTAGCTAGTGTTGCATTTCCATACTAAATGATATAATAAAGATGGTTATCAAACTACATATGCACTCCATGAGATGTTGCCACACCTTTTGCCCAACTAAAGTCTTTTCCAGACTCCATTTGAGAAATGCATTGTGCGCCACTACCCCTTTCCTCATCCATCCACACGTGGCAGCTCCACCAGCAGCCACACCCTCTCCCACTGTTGTCCCGAGCCAGGCAGTTTGGCAGCCTGTGCCCACTTATTGCCAGAATTAAAAATGTTTGTTCAGTTAAGTGTTTCTGCAAATGGCTTAACGGTCTCATGGGCTGTCGGGCAACTGGAGTTCAGGTGGTCTGGTCCTTGACGAGGGACTGATTTCACTTCTGTCATTCTCCTTCCAGACATGATTCCTGGATGCATCAAGGTAGCAGAAGCTGGCTGAGGTTTCATAATCTAAACCAAAAAGTGGCCCCATGGCATGCAGCGCCTTAGCAGCCCCATAGCCTTTATCAGTCCTGCACGGACGTCTGACTGCACTAGTTGAGTTGAGGCAAGGCGCGTGAAACATTTCTGACATTTCTCGAATGTGTGGCTAATCAGGAATGGCTGCTCATGTGTGGAGGATTCTCTAAGTGGGGAAGATGGGGAAAAAAGGGGGGAGGTGATGCTGTACAGCTGTATAGCACTTTGGGGGTAGAACATACAGTTCTGCAAATGATCTGTCAATATCCACGTACCACATGTAACAAAACACTTTTTTAGCCAATTTGACAATTAAGATCCTAGATTGTAAGTGCTTAGTTGAAACCTAATTGTAAAAAACTATTGTTACTAGAGGAAAAAATGGCTTCTTAAGATATTACTATTAGGAATGTGCTGATTAGGGCTTAGATTTAAGGGTCAGTTGCATTTGGAGCCTGAGACGAAGTGTGATTAAAGGAGGAAAGTGAGACGCTGAGGTTGAGGTGCATCTTGTGCAGAAAAGTTATACTGAACAATATTGAATACTTTTGTGAAATTATAGACATTTCATAGAAATTTGCCTGGAATTTTTATGGCAAATAGAAATAGAAATACTTGAGTGTGAGATGTATGAAAAGAATTGTGTAATGTCTACCATGACACATTCACCAGGAAAAACACTGTCAAAAGGATACAGTTTTGCTGCAACGACTTCTCTCGCCCCGCCGGAGTTCTGTAGCCTGCGCAGGCCATAAATATCAGCGTTTTATAATCTTAATTAAACAGACATTTTTCTATGCTCCTCCACGAGCCAGCTCCCCCTCAGACCCAGCAGGTTCCTGTGACAATGCCAAGCACTCCCCTCCACAACAACAGCAGCATTCAACAGGCTAAGATTTAGAACTCTTCAAATATTGGCTGCGCTGGCTTTCAATGGGCCAGGAATGGGAAGGAGAAAAGTTTAGGAGGGGGTTGGTGTTGGTTGGGACTCTCACCTCTACCTGTTTTCTAAACTTCTGGAAAATATACTTCCCACATCCAATAGAAACTGGAGGCGACAGGAGACAGGGGTGGGGGGCACTTCCATTAGTGAAGTTAAATGAGATCAAGGCTAAAGAAGCAGCAGGGAGAGAGCAAGCAAAAGAAGATTTAGATCCCCCAGAAGAGACAGCGCACATATTGAGAGGTGGGTCGGCTCCCACCACCGCCCGAAGGCTTTACTCTATTCACACTAGACACATTAGTATTCTAATGCCAGTGGGAATATGTATGACCAGAGAGAAAGAGATGCACAGTTCTCTGCCAGAGAAGCAGGAGAAAAGACAAAGGAAGGAGAGCGACATTAGCGACAAGAGAGACATTAATGTGGTGATGACCTGTGGGGAGAGAGTGGGGAGGGTGAGGAGGGAAGCATTAATACATAGAGAGGGTTTATAAGATGAAAACATTTATCTCCCTGCAGTCATTTCTCTGTGCCTCCATGCCAAAGAGCAGCACTTTGAAACCAGAGGGGCTCTCTTCCCACGCCTGTGCACCCCGGTTCACCTTCATAGTCAGACAATGACTTGATAATGAAGAATTACAGTACAGGCTGCAGCTTTTGTTCTACAAAACAGATATAATTTAACCTCGTGCTCACATCATTTACTGCAAGTAATGGTCCTGCACTTAAAATCCTACCTGAGTAAAAGTGCAGAAATATTATCAGCAAAATGTTAAAGTAAGTAAAGTAAACCCAGTAAAGTAGCATTTTACTGTTGTAGCTGGTTGAGGTGGAGCTATATCTAACTAATGTACAGTTAGTTCTTTAGGGCTGGGCCCCTCCAAAAAGGTTACAAGATAAATCTGAGGGGTCATGGTATGATTCATGAGGTTGGAAAGAAAAAAACAAGTTCTGCAACACCAATGTTTATGAATCTTTTGGAATCTTTCTCTATTCTTTGCTTGCTTGAAACATTGGAGAGTTTTTTCCTCTTTGGGCCTCAACGTAGACATCTGAAACATTACATGGAGCACCAACTAGACACTGCTTTATTGTAAGAGGTCACGAAAGGTTTGGGAACACCGGTAACTAAACTCAAAATTATATTTATGTAAAGTACTTGAGTAAATGTACTTAGTTACAGTGCATCAGTTGTGGAAAGGTAGGTCTAATAGAAAAATTTTGCCCAATAGAAAAGAAAATGCAAATAACATTTTCATTGCACAGAAAACAGCTGATTTACTGTTTGAGGCTTCTGTCCAGCCATGTAGCAGAAAATAAGTGAGTAAAATCCAGTTTTGATCACCACAAAGCATGCAACCACTAATATAAATCAAATGTATTAATGAGAGTTCATGCCTTTTTTTCTCTTTAACGTCCCTTTTATTTCCTTATGGACTGTAAATCACTTTGACAGTAGCTTCACACATTCAAGAACCGTACATGGCGCGCACATGTAGGACATACAGTGAAGTGAAAATGAAAGCAATGGATTTAAACTATTTAGCAAATAAATCAACTGAGCTGAAATAGTTTACTCTTGGCTACACGCCTGCATCTGTACACTTCAGAATGACTAAACATGTGTACACAACAACCTGATGCTTGTTACTATTTTCACCATGTCCAAGGAGTTGCGATCATCTTGAAGCCCCATGTCAAAATGCATTTTCTATGCTCCCTTAATAACTCAGGCTAATCACTTTAGCATTGTCTCTAGGGGCACAATGCCTTCCCTCATGTCCTGTATCGTAGCAAGGGGGCTAGGGAGCGGTCTGGTGATGGTGTGTTGAATTTGGGTGACAGGGTCCCAGTGGGAGTGGGTGCCCCTCTGTCCCTTAGATAATCCCCAGGAGAAAGGGCCTGCATTTAGGGTGCGTTACGCTTAATCCGGGAGGGCCTTGTTCACAAAGGAGCTCGGCACTTCCTCTGGCCTGGGAGCTTCCGCTGGTCTGGGGGGCCTGGCGTGGGTGTAAGTACATACATGAGCCAATAAAACACGTCCTCACTACAATGGAACAAACAACAGACATATAGACACACTCTCTCTCTCTCACACACACACACACACACACACACACACGCATACACGCAATGGTGGACAGAGAAGTGCGCACGGGAGAATCAAAAAAACAAACTTGTAAATTTACACTGTCCTTATCGGGAGCCAATCCAAACAAGCAGCCCCCGCACACAAGGGCTAATAGAAGTAAACATTGTGCACACAGACGCACACACACAACATACTGTGGACAGAGACGAAGTTAACATTCTGCCCCTGGGTATGATGAAATCAACGTTGTGTGTACTATAGAAAGATCAGCTCAGTGAAAAACTGAAAACAAGAGCGATCAAACAGCTCACCGCCTACAGATAGTTTTATATTTACAGTACAAACAGGATGACAGCATCATGTAATCACCACTTCAGATGCCACACAGAGTCCCAGTTTCCTCATACATACAGTAGATGTGATCAGAGGATGCTGGTGGATGATGTATATGCTTCAACTCCATCCCCTGGCAGCATCTGTGTTCCTACCATAAGGGAAAATGAATATATATATAAAAAAAAGATCAAATCTGCTCTTTTCCTAAACACATTTTCCCTCTTATTTACCACAAAAGCAAATAATACTCACTAAGGCAGCATGTAATATTTAGAGACATTTACGTAAACAGCTGAGGGATATTATTCCATATTTCTCTGACATGATTCCACACGCAAGTTTGGATTAGACGTTTGGAAAACGGCAAAAAAAAAAAAAAAGAAAGGCATGGTGCCTCTTTTTCCTCATTTTCAGACTTGCTTTTCCTTCCCATACCATTTCATGCTGACACATCCTCTTTCCTCTGTGGGCTCCCTGACATTTTCATCTGGCCACAAGCTACAGCAGAATAGCGATACAAATACTTATTTACTTGAGTTTAAACTGACATTTAAACTGCTGCCACTTCAGCTATTAACAGTGCACACACATACACGAATTCTGGTGCAACAACTTCAACTGAAATTTCAGTTCTCTCATCCTTTACTTTTTAAATAACAGTTTGAGTGCTTTCATGGCTTACGCATTGGCTGACATTTCAGCTAGTTTCATCTCTTACTTTTCAGCTGACTCTCCGATTACTTTGATGGACTTCAAATTTAAACAAAATTTGCAAACGCTTGTTACACTTAAACTGATTTCACCTGCACTTCCATTCCATTCACTATTAAGTGCTTCAACTTCAACTGCAACTCACATACACATGCAAATGTGACATTAACATATTAAGATATCTTAACTTGTTTACAGTGTCACATTTTCAGTGTAAGCAAGCCCACTTAAATTTTCTTCAGAAAATGTAGCCGTGTCTGCTTCTAAATGCTATCTTACTACAGGGTCACACGCTTTTTCACAATTTTTGGCAGTCTCTTTATTTTCCAGTGTGACAAACCCCATCCATTTGGTACCAGCACAGACAAAAATAAACCATAATGAGTATTTAAACCATCTCTGTGTGACTCAGGTCTGACATGAAGATAAAGCCTTCTCCCCAGGCCCCTTTATTCTCTGAATGCTGACCTTTGGCTGAACGGTATTTCAGCAGCAGTGCGTGGTCAGTACAGACCTCATACTTAATAAGAATTATGAGCAGTGACACAATTGTATATCAGCGTAATGTCCAAACCCTGCCATCATCCCCGTCTTGCAGCATTATGGACTCATTATAAAATAGCCGACCGGTCCAGGCCACTTGTTTTGACAGAAAGAGGTCCTACACAGCACTGGCACATGTCCTTATGTGTGGCGTCCACCAAGACTAACTACTCGTGACAGTGCCAGGAGTGTGTGTGTGTGTGTGTGTGTGTGTGTGTGTGTGTGGGTCTATGTGAGTGCACATTAAGTCTGAGGGGAAGCATGCCTAATGTGGGAGAGAAACAGTGAATCCAACATGGCCACTAGCCAGCGTCAGTGTACCCTTCTTGGAGAATTAGCCTGTCAATCCGTCCTAATTCCCGAAGACACAGGCTGCTCTTACACCCAGGTTGAGTTTAAACTGGAGGGACTGACTCTCTCAACTGTTTTCTCAGGATTGGGTGCAGACAGGCCGGCTGGCAAAATGTGCAGCAGTCAGGTCAGGCCGCACAGGAGAGCAGAGCTGCTGCACAAATACAAGTCTTGTCCAGAGTCAAGCTGGCACTGTTGTGTTAGCTAGCTGAATGACTGTGTGTCTCTAGGTAAGCATCCAGAAGAATACGATACTCACCCGCCTGGTTTAGAGATGTCACACACACAACATGGTTAACCACATCAGAAATACTGTGTACAGGAGGATTTAAAGAGCATACCTACTAGACAATGTTCAGATCAAGGAGGCAGTGGGATCATCGTGTATGCTTAGTTTCACCTGAAAACTTCACACCAGTGTTTATGCTGTTTGTTCAAGGACTGCTACTGACCTTTCTCAACAACTTGATATCCTGCCTCCAGTGTTCATGTGCTTAATATTATCTTTTGGACACCTATCATGAATTTTTGAGGAGCACAATGAGGCTACTTTAGGGTCATAGGAAGGCTAAATTAAGCTACTTACATAAAGGTTGCAAAGACTGATCTCTGATGGCATTAAGACATCCACTGCTCAGTACTTTTCTAATTAAAATCAGCTGAAATTATTCAAAGCACTTTTAAAACAAAGTGACACCATCCAGGGTGGAAAAATGAAGCTAACACTGCCAAAAATGGCAGTTTATAAAATGGCCACTTGAGGCTGTCTTGAAAAGCGAGTTATGCAATTATGCATAATGCATGTTATGCATAAATAAAGGTCCCATATAGTAGAAAGTGAGATTTCCATGTTGTTTTCATTATATAGCAAGTCTAGGCGCTATATAAAAGCTGTGAAAACATAAAGAAATAAAAATCGATCCACAGAGAAATGTACACAGCCTGTATTCAGGAACTGTGCCTTTAAACAAGCCGTCAGGCCTTCTGTAAGGCTGTGATGTCACAAGTCAGATCCTGCCCTCAGCACAGTCCACTGTGCCGTTTCTTGTTATTTTAACTTCATTAACACAACACCAAGCTGTCATTCCACTGAGCTAGCAAGCTACAAGTCAACGCTGCGCAATCTTTGGATGTCAGGAAGCCAACATTTTACATAGCCTTCCCAAGATTTCTGTTTTTCTCTCTGATGGCCTCCGGCTGCATTGCCTCAAGTCTGGGTAATGAACATTGGAGTGTTTCCTGATGGACAGCTAGCTTTACTTGTTGCTAAAGTAGTGAAAGTAATATAATAACGTAACAAGTAAAGTAACTACTTACTTTTATCACCCAGTAATAAGTAATAAGTAACTAGTAACTTTTAAATATTATTTCATTTCATATCATGCACAAACCTGGCACATTTTTGTTGTTAATTGTTAATCGTTGTTCTATATTTGTATATTTTATTCTCTTCTGTTGCAATACGTCTGTGCAACACAAACCAGAGTAATGCACATGTAAATATCTGGCACATAGTTCTTTCTCTGCAAACAGTTGTATTATTTTTCTCTATTCTTTTATTACTCTTATATAACTTGCATTTGTTTATTCCATATTTATATATTTTGATTTACAATTTCTGAGTAACTTGCCCAACACTGGTTGGCAGAGGGCCTGACTGCTGTTGACACTCATTTAGGGGCGAAAGGCCATTCACATTTGTGTTCCACCAGCTCATATATCTAACACCTGTTGCTTGGCCCAATTCAACAAGTCCAACTCAAGCACTTATCTCTGGGTGTACATGTGTTTTGGGAGACATAAGCTTACTACTGTATGTGTAAAAATGTACATAGTTTATGCCAGCATGACGACTCTTGATGATTTATTGCCCTGTTCCTACTATCTTGCTGGCAGTGGATTTGAGGTTGTGTTGCATAATTAGCAAACAAAAGATGGAAAGCCACAATGTCTAAGCAGAGAATATACAACCCCTTATTTAATTTAACCAAAAACGACAGTGCCAATATTAAAAGAAAAGCAAATTAAGCTATAAATATAACAGACAAAAAACAATGAGTTATTCGTTTATAATCTTTACAATGCTGTGGGATCGTTTTGGGATTTAATGCAAGCAACTGAAAACCACTTTCATAATCATTGAACATTCAAAGGAGAACACGCTCTTCAAGATTCTGACATAAGCCTTGACCTGTGTCAGTTCATAGGAGAGCTGTCACCTGTGTGTAGTTAGATGTGCTTTTATGACATCATTACTTAAGCATTCAGGATTGAGTATTGCGCAAAAAAGCAAAGTGATGAACACACATTATCAAAAAAACATTCAAGGGATGCGTCCCTGTAAAAAGATGCACCTGAACTAAACAGAGACTGGATGCTGTGGTATTCATTGATACATGAAAATGTACATTAATGATACATAACAGATGAATGAGGCTGATGGGTGAAAAGATATCTACAGTAGACAGTGAGTTGCATTGTTCCAGCCTGTGTAGATCTAAGCATGGTGAGACTACTGGGAGAGGCAGCAGAAAGCACTTTCACAGACAGTGAGAAGACACAGACATACATAAACAGAGACAGACAGACTGCTGTGGCTGGGAAGTGCCTATTTACGTATATTAAAAAGGTACAGTGGTGTCATGCTGTATGTTTATGCGCGGTAGAGCAAGATCCTTTCAGCACAGTTCTGGCCAACCAAGCTGGCGTACTGCTGCACCTCCGTCTCGTCGCTGGAGCCTTTGCGTTTGCGGGAGTAGGCTGCATAGGGCATGACGGTCCGTCTGTATAGCACCAGGGCTCGGCCCACGTCCTTCAGCACCCGAGCATCTCCTGGATACAAGCAGGCACACATGAGAATATAATAAGGACCAGTGTAGACACATCAAGCACAATAAACAATGTTCTTATTTTCCCCCATTCTTATGAGTTAACCTCTGAATGACTTGGCAAGGATACACCATTATTCCGAGAAGCTGTTGGAGGAGCAGAAAGCATCCCCCCCGACAGTACTAATTCCCCTATGCCCTAAACCTGGAATCATGGTGGTGCGTGAGCAGGCTAGTTAGTTGGCCTTGTTTAACGGGGGCCTTGCTCCCTGCTGCCTTGCCAAACCCAGCATTTCATCAGGTCCTGTGTCATATACTGCCAGCTCTCATTAGACCAGTAAAAACACTGTTAATCTCAAATGTGTGCGTGTTCAGCAGCTCTGACTGGTCCTCTGGAGAGTCGGGTTGGGAAAAAAAATAAAATAAAATAAAAAAAGAGTAAAAAAAAACCCAACTAAAAAAACAGTGACCCTCGTTCTGACACTAAAACCGCTGCCTCCAGCAGCGAGAGGTTGAGCCAAGCTGCCCACAGCTGGCACCAAGACGACAGGCAAGGGGTAGCACAGCAGGAACTATCAACTGAGCCAACCTGACCTGAATATCTTGCACAAAATCCATTGTGAGCACTAATAATCTTCCAACTCCAGTCAGAACTGAGGGGTCTTTCATTTGCTGTCAGTCACTGGAACTTCAATACACACCTCATGTCACACCGTCTTCCCAATGAATGACATCCCTGATCTACTCTCTCTAATTGCCCTCTCAAAAAGATTTTATTCCTCTCCGTAGCTCGTCTTCTCCAAACATTGTGCTGTTCTACCAAGTGTAAAATGCATAAAATGTATATTATAACACATTATATCCCCTACACACTCTTCATAAAATATTTAATCCAATCAGCCTCTCCTTTCTGGAGCAGTCATGGTCTGGTCTGGCCTAGCAGAGAGGAAGCAGATGAAAATAAACTTCGGGTCAGGCTGTGGAGAGGAGCTTGCCAGGCCGATGGCGACACATCAGTCAAACAGGAGCGAGTTAGATTTGGTATTAATAGAGCTCAGGGCCTCCCACTAGCCACTACCACTCTCCCTGACAATACTCATGTGGCTCACAGCTGAGCACCCAGGTGGTACGAGTAATGTGAGTGCACATATTTCTGTCTAATTCCATAAATATTCGCCATAGTACTGCCAAATCCTACCTGATCAACTAATAAACCAGGAAAACAAGACAATAGAGAGGAAAAACTGCAAAAATGTGATGCAATACCACAATCGAGGGTCTTTTCTCTTGTGCCAGATGTTAATTGGGATCTCTAGTTTACAAAGTACCTAAAGGCACTCTGGACTGGATCTTCATGGGCTGGATGTGATCAGAAACTTGATATGAGCAATATGAGTCAACTAACTTTGCGGCTGTGATCAGTTAGAATGTTACAGGCCACAAGTTTCACTGAAACGGGCAATGTACCAGTATGGCATCAAATTTGCACAGGCACTACCTGAAAAGCAAGCGAGCGAAAAGAGAGTGGAGTATGAACATAAACCCCCGAGGCTCCTTGCCCCCCCCCCACCATAAAGATATTTTCATATTTCAACTTTCTTTTTTTCAAACCACACTGTGGATTCATATTTTATTTATTAGCCTCATTTCCCTGCTCAGTAATGCCCTAACCACTGTGTCTTTCCCCTTCTTCGAAAAACTGCTGAGTCACATAATTGAAGAAATGCTTGATACAAACTTTTAAATGAAGAAAATCAGCAGTATGGTAAGTCTCACCATGTGTGGAAATGGGTTTTAAAAGATGTAAACATGTTATGCAACTTTCACATGACCATAATTTTGGTCCATGAAGAATTAATGTGTCCTGATGGGATGAAAGTGAAAATATTTAATAGTTCTATGCTTCCTTGATAAGTTAAGCTGCCTTCAGCATTGTCTCTCTCAGCACTCGGTGTCTCCTCATGTTCTTTATCAGTGTGACAGCCCACTTAAACAGTTACGCAGAGTTACACTTTGTCCACTCAAATGTGTGACACTGGTCTAAAGCAACACTGTCCCTTTGTGAAGATATTACGTAGTGATCATTTTAATGAACAGCAGCATGCAGCTTTAAGATGGTCTATTAACCTCAACAGTAATACTGAGCAGAGGCCTCATCTCTCTCTCTTACTCAAGGCAATCCAAACATCCGTTCCTCACATAAACAACTTTCACTTCACTCACTCCGTCCTCCATCAGTGCCCCCTCCTTAGTTTGAGTAGCTGCAGACCCTGTTCTCGTCAGGCCCACCGGACGTTCAGTGACACACCGCTCTGAGGTCACAGCTCCTCTGGGTCGGGGTTCAAGGGTCGGGGGCTAGAGGAGTGGTGAGGGTCGGTCGGGGAGTGAGAGGGTCAGGACTGAGGCTAGAGGCCTCGACACCTCGCCACGCTCCTCTCTCTCTTCCCATCCATCTCAAAGTTTTGAAACACTGGCTTAACACCAGACGCTGGTCAAAGGCAGGCCATTGGGTTATGACCACTTCCTATGACCCAATGTTGCAAATCTAAAAGAGGGCTCACGTTTGAAAAGAAAAAGGCCAACATGGGCAAGACTGCTCTTTCACCAGAAGACCTGGGTTCAAGCCCCTGTGTTAGCACATATCCGTCCAGCTCAAAGCGAGACCCTGAATCTCTGTGACCCCGGAGTTTTAAAATGAAAACAGGGTCAGCAGCGTTTTCAAACGTTTCCATTTTAGTGTTCGGATTTGCTGTTCTGAACGGCAGGCGTAAACGTAGCAAAAATGCTGCGTTTTAAAATGAAAACATATCTGATATCTGTCTCCTCTCCACTCTGAATGGGAACATTAAAGCAAGCCAGACTGAGGAGCAGAGCAAAGTGGCTCTGACAGACATATGAAAGTGTAGACTGTAAAAGCTAGAAATATAGTAGAAAGGCCAGGAGGTTATGCCGCCTAATGTTCTGGCTTCACATTGCGTGGCTGAAAGTACAAAAACTGTAGATCTCAGAATGAATTAGCTTGATGAGAAATTAATGTGTGAATTCCTATGTATGAGTCATGAAAGAGAAACCAACAGAATGAGAATATTTGTTTTCAATATTTTAGATATTTTTAATAAACTTTGTGTAGTACGTGTATGCAATATGTAATTTTGTGTGTCTGTACTGGAGTCCAGGGGGTGACAACTTCTATCACACATTTTAGTAAGTGTTTATCCTGCTGAGTGGGAAATGGCCCTACTTTTCTTCTCTGTCAACCAAACACTGATTATGAGTGTGTACGAGATCATACATATGCACTGTGTAGAGTGTGTGTGTGTGTGTGTGTGTGTGTCCTAGGACCCTCGATATGTCAGCAACAGGCATGTAATCAATGTGAGCCTGCTCTGGACAGAGTTGTGTAAACTTTAGATTAGCTGTCTTTACACACCTCATTAGGACCCGGTCACGCCTACAATCTGGACGCAAAACCAGCACCCCAATTCCCATTCACCCCTTGGGTGAGACTTAGAGTTCGAGGCAGGGCCTTACAACAAGCCTGTGTTAGAATTAATGGGGACTTTGGGTTTTGGTGAAAACGGAAATTTCTTAAACATCTGACATGTGCTGTCAACTTGTTTTTATCTTTATACACTTTTCTGGACCAAGAATTTTTGTTCCCAGTTTCTCACTGTCAAGAATTGAAAGTTGTATTGTCATCCTGTATACATTTCAAATATATAGATATTCTTTTGAATATCAACAGAATAAGGTGAAGAAATTAGGAGGTTGTCCAGTGAACAGACTACTGATGACAGTGAGTTGATACACTGGCACATTAAATATCCTCTAAGTATAGAATAGACAAACAAAATTAATGTGACTTTTGACATATTTCATGGAAGTATAGTGAGCAATCAGGCCAGAGTACAAAATGTCATAATCACAGCACACCACAGCAGTAACATAAATGGGATTACAATACATAGTTACTTCCTAAAAGATACATAGGTGATTCCCACACCATTACATGCAGTCAGGACTTCCCAGGACTTGCAACATTGTCTTTATTTGGGCCAAAAACATGCCACACATTGACAAACTGCCAATTAGGACGGGACAGGCCCACAGGCCTCAGTGTGCCATGCTGCTAACCTGACGATGACACAGGCCAGGCTGACCTGCTGACTGACCACTGGGTGTATTTCTGGAGAAGACAGAAACCTCCACACCACCACTTGTCTGGCGACCCACAGTTTGGCAACAGACATGAGAGCTAACCATCTAGACAGCTCGCACGGAAATGTAATGACACTGCGTTTGGACAGCTAGGGCTGAAATAATGTCCAGTCCCGTCCAAGATCAACAGTCCATGCAGGAATGGAGGCACCGCAAGAGCCACAGACACACAAACATACTCTGGCCGCAGTGAAAATCGCTAACTCCGAGACCGCCACTTTGTCCTCAGCAATTTGTGCCTACTCAGGGATTAGTGGTGTGATTGACAGGAAACGGTCGGACCTACCAGTGGCTAAGCTGTTAATGGCAATGTTGTAAATAACCTGCCTGCTAATGGTCTTTTAAATGCCCTTATTTCTCCTGGGTGTGGTGCTTTCACCAACATGAGTGAACAACCAAAGATAGCCAGGAAATGGCCAACAAAATGTGTAGAATCCTTAACTCCTTGTGTTGTGTGTTAAGATTTTGATTCTGGGATGGTTCACTCAGTGCCCACAAACCTAACCTCATCGTGCAATTTGACCTGCTGTCTCACCACATTCGTATGTCCCTCCTCGTCTCTCATTTTATTGTACTCTTCTAGTGCCAGCATACAGCCACCAGCCTCCCTCCCAATCTCTTCCCATTTCTATAAAATACATTTTCACCCCACCTGCCCCATCTATTCTTCGGTTACCCCCCTCATGTCCTATTACTGTCTATCAGTAGCGCTTTCTTGTTTGGTGCCTATTTGGTGATGCAAGTTAATGGGGAAGAGAAAACAGGAGTTGGCTGGCCCCTGTACACTCAACCACCCAGGTTACAGGCTCTGGCAATCTAAAGCATTTTTTTGTATGTATTACCTTTTCGTTCCAAAGCTAAGTATTCTCATACCCATTGGACTGGCACTCTAAATTTTGGTTTCAGTTTTTGTGGGAGCTGTAGGAATTTTACTGCATATTCACCCAAAACCACCTAGAGCACAAAAATGCAGATCAACACAGCAGAGTGAGCAGACAGAGATTTAAGAAATAAGGAGAAAAAGAAAATGTATCTGCCTTTCTGGCTATGCACCTACTTAAAACTCTCACTTACACCCTATTAAACACTCTCCCTGGCCTCCATCTCTCACTCCGCCAGTCCAGGCAATGGGCGTCTGCCAGTCTACCTTCTGCATGCGGTTTATTATTTTTGATATCACTATTCATCTAATGGCAACATGCTCCTTCCATAATGACAGTGCTGGCTCTGCTCTGACCATGCTGAAGGATCACGGGGAGAGAAATCTGTGATCAGAGCTGCAGGCCCTCAGTTTACCCCTGTTCAGTGACTGCATGCTGCCTTGGAGCAAGCAGTATTGAATACACCATCACAGTAAAACCGGATCAGATGTTAACACAAGGTTCATGGGTTCACCAAGAACAGCGTGTATGACGAACTGGAAAACAGGTCAGTATGTTAGCAATGTTAGAAATGGATACAACTGTATGGGATAAATGCAGAAACATGGTGTTTCAGACATTAAATGCAGTAGATGGGTGATGATAACAGCAGAGTAGTGTGTTGCATAGTTAAACCTGCATCAGGATCCTGGTTGAAACGGGCATAGCGGGCGTTCTCTAGCTGGGGAATGCATCGCTCTATTGGTACCCAGACAAAGGTTTCTGGGCACAGAAGGTCTGAAGGCCGGTACTGCCCCTGGGAAATGAAAAGGGGACAGAGAGAAACTATTTGTTATTCATTATCATTTAATCAATCAACAGAAAATGTTAACAATCATGAAAATGTATTCAATTTTGTATGTTTTATTCATGAAAAATAACATTCATTTATTACAGCTTCTATAAGGTGTCTTACCAGCTTTTTTTTATATTGCCATAATTGTTTTAGCTGTTCATTGGACAACAACAAGCAATGTGAAGATGTCATCCTGATTTTTGAGCATTATTAACACTTTTCTGGCATTTTATAGACTAATCAAACTGCATTATTGACAGGATGATAATGGCCATTATATTATAATAATCAGCCCCTTCAGAATTTTGCGATCGCAACTTTTAACAGAAATTCAACAAATCCCTGTGAATTCAGTCCAACCTGCAATTTTGACAAATCACCACTTCTTTCCCCGCATAAAGTTGTTATATGTCAGCTTGTCATTTCCTTGTTTACAAGCAGACTTCTGTGACACGTCTCACATTTGCCGAAAAAAAAAAAAAAAGGACAGTGAAAAACAGTAACGGGATCTTATTTACCAAAGCGGGGGTAAACTGTTTTGCAAGACGGGCAGTATTGTGGTCGAACATAAAAGGAAATCGTCTATTGACACAGAGCTGCAGAAACGCATGGAGGACGTCAGATGAGACACATCACTATGACACAGGTTGTTCAATCTCTGTCATTTGCAAGTCCTGAAAGAGCCCAGGTTAAGCTGGTTTAAATGTGCATGGTTAGGCTTAAGGTTAGGTCTTTGAAATCCTGGCGGGAAAATATCACATCTACTTTTGCAGTTTTCACATATTCCCACAATTTCATCGCAAAAAACGCCCTAAAACATTGCAACTTTCATCACAATTTTTTAAAAAGCTGCCACAAAATCAGGTATTTTAGGCCACAGAAGTCACCCCTCGAAATGCCGGAGGGACTGAATAATGATTAGTTGCAGCCTTAGTAACACCATTTTTCACTATACTAGTGATACTTTATGGTTAAAGGTTTGACAAGTTGTAAACAGAGCTATGGGTTGAGACCCGGATCAAATTCTGCTCAAACTTCTGCTCAAAGTTCTTTGCTTTGGGAATGTTTCTCTGTGTCAGGAGTGTTATGTTGTCTGCAAACACACCAGCATATTGTAATGTGTGCTTGTGAAATGGGAACATGTCTGTATTTGACCTAACATTTTGGATGGAAAGTAAACAAAGCCGAACAAAAACAGCTGCAGGGCAAAAGGGAAAAAAATGAGTGAGGGGTTGAAAGAACAGAAAGGACGGGGGCGGGGGGGACGACGACTCTATTATCAGAGACCTGTGTTCTATCACATGGCTCCAAACAAACACAAACTGCCGAGATAGCTCTGTAAACAAGCAGGCGCCTGAAACAGGCCCGCTGCACAATCTCAACACACACACAATAATATTTAGAGTTTTTGAGACATTAAACTGAAGGACAAAGACTCTTTATACACAACTGGGGGTCAAAAAGTGCTGGATGCTTAAACTTCGGACAAAAAGAGAAAATACAGATGTCACTATGAACTCATAATAATAAGCAAGACAAAGGAAATACCATCCCAGAAAAAATGCTGTTGCTACACAAGTGCTCTGACCACGACCCATCTGTCAGTGGGCCTATATGGAAAATATGCTGCCTGTTTTTACATGCAGGATCGGATGCCATGAGAATGAACAAGGTTGCTTTACAGCTTTGAAAAATGAAAAACAGAAGATTTTGGGGGATAAACTCATAGCCAGGCTTTGCCTTCAAGTCACCCTTTTGCTCTGTGCACAATAAGGTAAAATGGCTACAGGAGAAACGCTAATTTGTATCTCTAAATTCTTACAGTCGTGCAAAAAAGTGTACAAGCCAAAACTGAGGTAGAGGCTGTAAGGGGAAAAAGCAATGCAGAGTCAAGCAAAAGACACCAACATACTTTAAGTGCTTCTGCTAACAGATAGATGGAGGTGGAATGCAATGCATCTGTAGCTACAATTGACACACACATTGATCGGATGCACTCCGTGTCCCAACAACCTACAGCCTTCGACAACTGTCAGCACAGTCAGCCTGACACTCTCACACTCTGCCTCACCTCTATAGACTCCTTCAACACCGCAGTGGGACACACCTCTATGTGCAGAAAACACACACACTCGGCAGTAGAAACACAGTGAGACACACATTTTTCCTGCTATAGGCCTCTGCATCCTGACGCTGCACCTCATCTCAACCTAGGTGCGTAGAGGGAGGGTGGAAAGGAGAAACAGAGGTGTGAATGGAGTAGCTAGTCTTTTAAGAGAGAGAGTGAGAGACACAGAAGAAAGAAAACATGCAAGGGCAGACCTTTCGATGAGCTATTATTCCGTTTTTGTGTGTAAATGAAGTGGATTCCTGATTTCTAAAGGCCTTTGTTTTGAGTCCACCGTCCAAAATGATATATCCAGTCCTTTGCTGTACAGTTTCAACAGAAAGAGAAGCCTATGTAACCACAATGAGAAGCAGAGTGTGGTCATGGCACAGGCACAATTCCTCAATTCTCAGCCTGAAAAGAGAAAAGGATGAAGAGAAGGATGGAGAAGTGCGAGACGACACAGCTATTAGTGGTCTGGACAGAGGAGAGAGAAAAGAAGGAAGAAGAGAGGGAAAGAAAAGCTTGGTTTGCCACAACCTATCTGTAAGCTTCTTTTCTTTATTGGACTCAAAGTAAAGACTGAGCTCACCACTGACTTTCTTTGTCTTCCCTCTTATTTTTTTCCTTCCCCAAGTTGGCTTCAAGGCCCTGTAATTCACAGCTACTCCTGCAGCTTCCTTGGCTCTTCTTCAGACCAGTGTTTTCTGCGTCAGCTCACAATATCCATCTCCTTTATCTAACAGTTTCTTATACCAACAGAGAATGCAGTCCCCTGAAACAACCAACCTAATAGCTGGTGAGTGAAAGTGTTTTCAAAGTGAAATTGCCTAATTCTATAAATCTATGATCCTGAGTGGCTGTTAAGTGACAGTGACAATATGTGAAAGGCCAGAAAGCCATTTGAGGAAGTTTTTTTGTGTGTATATCTATATGTTTTTTTAATATGTCCAGCCACACAGTTGCATTAGAGGGCTACCCGGCCACGCGACAGATTCCCAGGATGAGGTTTTCCGGACGAAAAACATCTTTTTGGTTTGGTCCTCCTCTCTTCAGTGGCTCAGTCCCTCCCTTTCTAAATGCCCAGACCCTCCCACACAAACCAATCCATCATCCCTCCATCCTTTCTTCCTTTCTGTGCTCGCATGTTCAGACGGATACGGAGGTGATGCCGATAACTGACAACCGCTGAAAGGCTGGTTTAGATAGACAGAATGAAAGAGAGATGGGGGGGATGAAAAAACAAGTGGTGAGAGACTGAAACATGTACAAACGTCAGCGGATAGACTTGGCCGCCGTCTGAGGTGTGAGAAATGAAATGGAGGTAGGAGGGAGGTATGAGGGAGAACGGGAGGGACGAGAGAAAATTAGGTGCAGATGAGTAAAATGATGGTATTTAACGTCACTGAGATATGGACCGGGGCAAGCTAATGGAAGTGATAGGAGCAGTCTTGAGTGCCAGGACGGCGGGGCCCAGCACTGAGAGGATGTTGGAAGCTGGTGATGTAGGGGGAGGACTTGGAAAGAGACAGACATGGGGGAAGAGCTAAGTAGACAGAGGGTGAGATGGAGACAAATGGAAAAACAAAAGAGAGAAAAGTTGCATTCAGTGGTAGCCACAGAAAGGGAGAGAAACTGGGGGGGGGATGGAAACTGTACATTTACAAGTGAGGGAATGCACTCAGACATTTACATCTATTGTTCTGCTGTGCGTTTGTTAATTAATGTGCAGAGGTCACTGTTTATAGGAACGCAATCTTTTTCAGTGCAGGTTTGCCAATGAACTGAACTTTAACAAGGCAGAGGGGGAAATTACTCAACCTCATTTGAATAGCAAGCTGCCCTAGTGTAAACAATTACACAACCTCAATCATCAGAAATAAATAAACACATGTGTCCACATGTGGTTGCACAATACTTTGCAGATCTATTATCACCCCGAGCCCCTCGGTGACACAGAATCACTCATTCTTTTCGGGCCACACAGGCTTCACAGACATACAGATAGCAGGGGCCCTGCTGTCAGAGTGAACTTTATTACCAACCCAGTGATTCAAACACATAACTGTCACCTTGCTCCTCTCCCTCATTGTACACCCCTCCCTACCCATTTCTGTCTCGTTTTCTCACACACCTCAAGACAGAGAGCGATGCCCCGGGCCCTTAGCTATGATTTATATGTAAAGCAATTAATCAGACACATAAATCCAGCGCTTCAGTGCAGCCAAGGAATCCTCATGAAAACCTACACTTCTTTTGCATTCTGCTTCTTTTCTTCCTCCCTGCCTGTCTATGAGTTTGGTATGTCTAGAGTTGAAACAACTTTCATCAATCGAGAGACCGTTAGCCAAAAGTGTCTTTCACATCGTCCAAATGGTGGACAGGTAACAAATGGTAGACAGGTAACCACACTAATTCACATTCTGACTCTTAGCTTATTACCAGTTAAATACTTTATTCAAATTTTTAAAACTTGCATCAGGCCAGTGTTTATCTGAACACGTGCTCTGGAGCATAGGGTTGATGGGTTTTATGCTTCATGTGACAACAAAATGGGTTTGTGTGGAGAAAACAGAGGAAGAACTCTGAGTAGCGCTAGCCACCATGGCTAAATGGACAAATTCACCAATTAATGCAGCTATGCTTTTGGCTCTGGCATAAACATGAAGATATTTAATAGATTAATCTGAAAACTAAATCACCAACTTTTTTGATGATTAGTTAATTAATTTAATGCCAAATATTTCTCTGGTTCTCAAATGTGAGAATTTGTTGAATTTGAATATCTTTGTGTTTTGAACCATTGGTCGCCTACATTCTGCCATTACGTCAAACAAGCAGTTAATCAATAAAT